AGGATAAATCTCCAAGTTTCCATACAGGTTAAAAAAAAAAGAGAGAGCATAATTTAGTATTTTAAATTACTTAGAATTGATAGGATTACTTTTTTTCCTTTATGATATACTTTTGTTTCTAGCTACAACTTATTGAGCCTCAGTCCCTGACCAGGAACACAAACTCCAAAGATAATACCATCTCTATGGGAAATAGAACATATTTTGCATCACAATTTAGTTTATGTTCCACCATTCTCTGCTCATATTTACTCTTTGGAGGCTTCATCTCCAAAAGTTCAGAGACATTTGTTCACCATCTTGTGACCATGGGTCTCTGAGGAGATGCCATATTATATTGCTTCCAGAAACCAAGCCCCTGATTTCTGTGGGTGGGTACTCCACAGCAACCCCTACACATCTTGGATTTGTCACTGAAGATAATATGATAAAATGCTAATAGAATGCCTGAAATGCAGGAACACTTCATAGAGTATATCCAATACACTGAACAGCAAGATACATGGGAAATAATCAAAACACAGCATTATTCTTGTCCCCCATTTAGATATTTCACCTGCCACTAGATGAAAACTAAGCAGAACCCATGGTTCACCCTTGGGTTACAAAGGGTCTTACAGTCACTTTAAGTCGCAAAATATAGTTAATTCAAAATCAAATTGCCCAGTTCCAAGAGATTAATCAACTCTTTCCTCTTTATTCAGACAATGACCTTTCGTTTCATTCCTTAGGTGTTTAGACCATCAGAGTCCATGCGTAGGAGGGAGAGGGAACAATATGTATATTGTATATATAGGAGAGGCCAGCAGAGTTGTCATTAGCCTGGTGACTGACAATGTCCCCCAGTAAACCTGGCAGGTGGTTAATGCGGACTCTTGCCCTCCTATAACTTTCATTGTCTTGATTGCCAGCTGGGAAACATTCCTGGAAACATTCCCCTGATGTGGGTCGTTTACATTTTCCTTTGTCTAGCTGCTTCTCTTCCATCTATCATGTTCCCAATTAGGGCTCTTCTACCCCACTTTTGGGGGGTCCCCTCCCCATTAGCAGAAGTCCTATTGGGAAGAAAAATCTCAGGCAGGCTGCCTTTGAAAACGACCCTGTGCTACTACGCAATGATTTCTTAAGCAGGGCACACACAAGATTGATAAATAGTATTTCATGAGGACCTTCCAGGTTCCATTTAGAATGTAAGAAGCCAGAAAGAATGTCACCTCCCACTTTAAGCACAAGGAAAAGCTATATATGAACTTTTCTCAAATCCATCAGAGGACTGAGGTCGCAGGGCAAATAAGCCTGAGATTTAAAGAACGGCAGATGTTTCCAAAGAAAGAGGCAATACAGAAACTGACCTATTTGAGACAGAGCACCTAAAAAAGTCAAGGCCACTGTATAAGTGGGAAAGAAGATTGCAGCTAATACTCTGTAATGAGTCAACAGTTAAATTTTTTTATAATTTGCTGTTGTCATAAAGCAGGGAGTATAGAACCCATGGAAGTTACAGACACAAGGGAATTTACACCCCCTTTCAGGCTTTTCTCCACAGAAAGCTAAAAAAAAAAATAGATCAGGGTCAAGGGAGGTGAGCAGAGGAAGATTCTTAAGTTAATACAGGTCCAAGAAATAAGAAAAAAAGCCCTATGTAAGTGGCTAACTCTTGGTTTTGGCTCAGGTAATGATCTCAAGATCATGAGATAGAACACCCCACCCTATCTGGGCTCTGTACTCAGTGGGGAGTCTGGTTGAGATTCTCTCCCTTTGTCTTTCCTCCCACCCTCTCTGTCTCTGTCTCTCTCTAAAAATAAAAGAAGAAGAAGAAGAACGAAGCCCTACAGAATAAAAGTCACTGGGGGTGGGGAGGGATGTAAAGCAGGGAACCCACCAGAGTACAAGTGTACACCTATTACAGCTGGGGGAAAAGACAAAAAACAAAGATACCCTCTTCTCTTGGGGTAATGGGGGAATCTCTCTCCCACACAAGAACCACCAAGACACAGGGCAGAGTTTGTCTGCCATGGTGAGGAGGCCAAGATCACTGAGTAGGTTCTGGTCCCAAGACCAAGTGAAAAAAACCTGCCTGAGGCTATGGCTGAACCAAGAAGGCAGAAGGCCTCTCCCTTATCAGACACAGTCCAGCAAGTGTCTAATAAGAATCTACTACTGGGCAAGGAAAATCAGTGGCAAGTCTCTCTGAGGCACAGGCTCACAGGGAAAGCCTAAAGCCTACTCCACCCTAACCAGAATAACACTAATTGCCAAAAACTGAAAATAGCTGGTGAATGGATAAACAGTGATTAAACCACAGACTACTACTCAGTAATAAAAAGGAACTAATTATTGATACACATAACAAAATGGCTAGATCTCAAATACATTATGCTAAGTGCAAAAAGCCAAAACCAGATTTCCACATACTATATGGTTACATTTATATGACATTCTAGAACAGCCAAGTACAGGGACAGAGATCAGTAGTTGCTAAAGGCTGAAGGTGGATGTGGGGTGAAGCACAAAGGGCAAGAAGAATTTCTGAAGGGTGATGAAGCAGTCTGTATGTTGCTTGTGGTGGTAGTTACACGTCATGCATTTGTTAAAACTCAGGGAACTACACACTAACTAAAACAGGTGATTTTATTGCATATAATTTATATCTCAGACATTTAAATTAAAACAAAGAATTTCATTGAAACTAAGAACTTTTGTTTATCAAAAGACACCATTAAAAGAATGAAAAGTCAAAGAAAGAAAGGAAATAGAATTTGCATATGGAATATATAAAGAACACACAAATGAATAAGAAAAAACAGACAGCCGAAATAGAAAAATGGGCAGAAGTCTTGAGGGGACATTTCACAGGAGCAGATACCCTAAGGCTTAATATGCATGTGAAAAGACACTCATCATCTGCTCTGAAGGCAGATGAAAACCTTGTTGAGGGACCACTACACATATAGGAGACTAGCTAAATGTAAAGATTGGCAATATCAATGTTGGTGAGGATGTGGAGCAACTGAAACCAGCGGCAAATTTGTATAACCACTTTGGAAAACTATTTGGCAGTATTTACTAAAGCTAAATACCCCTGATCTGGCAATCCCACTCCCAAGTATAAATCCTATAGAAATGAGTGCATATGTCCACCATAAGACATGTTCAAGAGTGTTCACAGGCCCATTATCATAAGAGCAAAAACCTGGAAATAACATGAATTTCTATTAACATGATAACCTACAAATAAATTGTGGTATATGTCTACAATGAAATACTACCCAGCAATAAAGAAAACCAAATAATTGCAACATGGAACAAGAATGAAACTCACAGATATGAGTGAAAGAAGTACAAAAGAGATATATGTACGATTTGAGTTATATGAAATTCATGAATAAGAAAAACTAATTTATAGTGATGAATTTAGAATAGTGGTTATGGGTATGGGTAGTATATGCTAGGAAGAGACATGAAGGAACCTGAGCTGCAGGAAATGTTCTCTTTTCAGCTCAGCGGTTTTTACATGCGGCAGTATAAATTTGTAAAATTTCATTCAATCACCCACTTCCCTTCTCTGTTCTTTACTGCATGTTTACCTCAATGCAATACAATAAAAAGAAAATATTCCCCCACAGCACAGCTAAAAGGCTAATGATACTGTGCACAAAATGAATATAAACAAGACTCTGGAGTATATAGAGACTTGTCCTTGTCCCTGACCCATGTGTGTTTCTTATCGGCTGCAGGTAGAGAAGAAATGTGCATTAGCTCTATAGTCCATGGTAGGCAGTTCAGACTTGATGCAGCTTCTGTTCCTTCTAGGTCCCAAGCTTATCCAATGCCCAATATAGTATCTTTTTGTTTAAAAGAATATGGAATAGGCATTTCTCCTCTAATGTTTTAAAAGAGACATTTCTTTTTACATGCTGTTAATTGCTGTGGTATAACTATTAATTGCAGGTTATTTTTTTTTCTACCAATAGAATAAAACTTCTTGTGCCATCATTCTCCTACCATTTATCAATAAATAAAGATTTGCAGGGGTGCCTGGGTAGCTCAGTCGGTTAAGCATCTGCCGTTGGCTCAGGTCAGGTTCTCAGGCTCCTAGGATCAAGCCCCGAATTGGGCTCCCTGCTCAGTGGGGAGCCTGCTTCTCCCTCTGCCTGCTGCTCTCCCTGCTTGTGATATCTCTCTCTCTCTCTGTCAACTAAATAAATAAAATCTTTTAAAAAATAATAAAAATATATAAAGATTTGTGTACTTTACTATAGATATGCTGTAGCTCAACACAATTTGTTTAATAGTCCTGACAAGGAAGGCTATATCCACCTCGGGCCTTCAGGACTCATGCACCAGTGAGCAGTCTGGGGAATGAAATTATTCCCAACACAGCAGCCATCTTTGTTTTCAATTCTGCTGTGGAGGCAGCTCCTCTGGCTTCCTGTGACCATGAAACACTAGTCCTCAAGCTCCAACTGCAGGGGTTCTCCACTAACCTCGCCAAGCCATCCCGGAGACCCCCTCATTGGGTCTGAGGAAGAGGAATGCCCCATCCACTCCACCTTTCACTTTGCCCATCAAGTTCCCCCCAACATATCTCTTCACAAATCTTCTCTCCTCTTCATAAATTTACCTTTTTTGACATCTTTAATGTGAATGAGAGGTCCAAGAGTGAGCTCGAATCAGACTCTACTCTATAGTTACTTTCTGCATTTTCATCCAGCACCTCTCACGTAGAATTTGTAGTTCGTGTTGGATATCGCTCAATCCAAATTTGAACATTGACCTGTCACGGTAACTTCCGTGTGAACCATAAGAAATTGTTGATTGTTGACTACTGTTGATCTAAAACAACTGCAATTTCATATGGTTCCAACTAACAGTTTTATTCAAAATAAAATTTTTAGAGAAACTGAACTTCAGGTTGGGTTTGAGCAAACAGGACAGTGGGTTCTTAAATGAATGCCAGGGCAAATAAATCCCCAAACACCATCAGCAGAGCATCTCACCTTGGCTTTCAGATGAGCACACAGTTTCTGCTGCTTTCTCCTGTCCTTAGCCAATGTGTCCTCCATTGCATGTGTTGCACAGGCCTCAGTGAGGGTCAGCACAGCCTTCTGGATAAAGTCTCTCCTGTTCTTATTCCAATTTGATATCAGGATCCTTCGCTGCTCCCTGGCAAAGCGATATTGATCACAATATTTCTCATGTTCCACCTGAAAAGAAAACAGATGGCAAACACTTATGAAACTGAGACTATGCTTTATGTCATTGCTACAAAAAATGAATAAAGTGAATTATAACCAGTAATTTTGAAAAATTGGAGACAAACATCTTAACAGTGAATGCAACCAGGACCAGGTACAATTCCCCAAGTTCTGAGCCTATGGCTAACTGGTGACTAAGGACCAGTTGTTTAATGTTTGTTAAGTCCTTAGTGTCCCTGTATGGGATGGAGTCTGATTAGGCAGCCCTAAAACATTTTCCATGTCTACATGTCAGTGAATTTATTCACAGAAAGTATTACTTCCCTTGTATATAATTTCAAAAATATTCCATCTGTAATTTAGTTTGGGTATTTTAACAATTACTTCAAGTGCTTCACTTAGACACATGCTAATAAACATAAATTGCTACCATAATCCCCAAAACTCAGTTTGCCCTTGATTACTGATATATTCAGGTTTTAGGATGTCTGAACTTAAAGGAATTACAGCAGTCATATTAGTTCTTCCCATCCTGCAGTCCTGATGGACTGATATTCTCACATGGGTACTGGCAGTTCCTGTTGGCAGTGAATCCCAACCATGAGAGATCTGAGAGTCTTGAGGGAAAGTCTTGAGGGGAAGAACAGGGATGGAGATTGCCTGAGTCGTTTGAAAAGTCTTTGTAGGTATTTCTGAAATGTTCTTTATATGAAGTTGTGTCTTCTGAAATTGAGAGCCACTGACCCTCTAATTCTTTATCTTGCTAGTATAGACCACATCTCTGAATTTATACATTATTTAACCCCTAAGTGGTGTGAGAAAAGAATCTAGCAAGAAGGATAAGGTTGTTGTTCTAAGATAATAATCCAGGTATGGTTAATTAGGTACATGATGAAACAGGCTATGGATTCAATTAAACCAAATATCAGCTGCTAATATATGTTGTGGAAACTTCTGAGCTTTGTTCCCAAAAGTCAAAAATATACTAAAAATCTGTCAAACACTAAGAAAGGAAGCATATACCATGCAGAAATGCATACTAATCAACACATAATAAAAATTTTTATCATGTTAATAGGTAAATACAAAAAGTTAAAAATCATAACTGGTCACAGAAACAAATAGAATCAACAGGGAATAAAAAGAAAGATCTAACTTAATAAATTAAAACTTTAAAAAAGCTAGAGTGAATTATTTATTATATAACATGTTTTTTATATAATAGGTATCTGCTATAAAATAAAGATCAAAATTAAAACAAATAATCATTTGGTGAGGGAATCAGGGATAGGAGAGGATGGTCATACTAGATGTGTGACCTTTGCTTCAGTTTCTTTATCTGTAAAATATAATAAAAATAGTACTCTTTCATCCACTTCTGTGTGTTATAGAAGTTTACTCATGACTGAAATAAGGTAAATTCTATATACACGTCGGTACTATTGTTACCTGCTTATTTAAAATAATTACAAAATGCAGAGTATGTGATAATATTTTATAGCATGGCCCATTTAAAAGTTTAAATGTGTTTGTTTACATATACGTTTTAAGATGAGTCATTGTAAAGTTAATTGGCGACATGGTAACTTCTGTTGTCTTTGTGGTCTTATGAACTAAAGACCCTTCTCAGGGAAATTTCAGTCATGACTCTGAGTTCTAATTTGGGGCATTTGTATTTCAGACCCATCTAGGGTGATCAAGTGGAGATGTTGTTGTGGGGATGATATAAGTAAGCACCAGCCCCCAGGGCAAGTGCTGCCTTCCCCATGACTAGAGGGGCTGAGATGTGGGAGGTTCTGCAGATAGATGGGTAGCAGGCACCCCCACTTTCAGGCAAGAGCCAGAGATTGCAGAACCTCTGAGGGCAGGCAGGTGAATGCACAGACACCTAGAGATCAATTACGGGCAGAGCAACCCAGGAAGTCACAGTAAAGATCTCTCGGGCAGGTAAGCATAGAAGAATGAATGTTGCCTGAAGGGTTCTCTACATTCTTATGCACCATATGACTTGAAAAATGAGAGACTTTCAACCTATAACTCTATTATTTGCTAGAGTGTAGGAAAAAAAAAATTTAGAGCACCATTCTAAAAATACAAATTTTGCCTAGTAATTATTGACTACTAAAGCAATTTAACTTGCTGTTATATAGGGTCCTGTACTCACCAAATCATGCCTAGATCTGTGAGGAAAATATCTTTGTATCATGTTCAGATACAGAGTTCTTCTGTTACAGAGCTCTCCAGGATACTGATCCAAAATAGCCTGGTAAATCCAGTGGTCTTCTTCACTTAATTGGAAGTTTCTAGAAGCAACAAAAGTGTCACAACACATTGTTAAGCAATCACCGAGTTTGAGGGAACTCAAACTGCTCAAACTATTAACGAATGGTACTGATTATATAAAATGAAGTCTGGGGTTGGTTTTTTAAAATACATTATAGCCAAACTATATGTCTGCTATAGAAAAGGTTCTAAATCCTAATACGATGGGTTCTTCAATCCTTTATTGGTCTTGCCACAAGTTCCAGGCATAATTTCAAGAAGTTTGCAAAGTGACATAATATTTTTAAAATATTTATTCTATCCTCCCTATAAGAATATTTAAAAAATCACAATCAATGAGTGAAATAAATGAACATTGGGAAATAAAACATACAGACTAAAATGGAATTTTTATTCCTGGAGGAAAACACAAAAGTAGACAGTTAAATGAACAATTTTACAAAGAAAATTAAGGCCTGAGGAAAGCACTTATTTAAGGTTTCACTTTAAAACAAGTCTAAAATTATCATTAATTTACTCTCTCAGCTTCTCGTGTGGTGGGATTAAGACTAGATAATATTAGTGAGAAGATTACCAATGGCATTAGATTTCAGATCACTGAAGAAATCATTTGTAAATAGGACCTCTTCAAGGCCCTACCTAGTAACATGTCCACCCTGGTCCAGAATGCCTTTTTCATTTCAGGGCACTCCTGGGCACTAGCCTGGTATGTGTTTTACATAAGGTATTAGCAAAGCCCTATGCAGAGTGGAAAGGGTGCGATATTAGCTTAAACTCTAAACTGAATTAATGCCTCTTTATTATTCTGGATTTATTTGCATATTGTTATTCCTGTTTAATAAATTGGAATAATGAAATACAGGTGCAATCAGAGTGAATATTATTAGCAACAAGTATTTCTTTGATCCAAGATGGAGACTTGCTATTGTTTATTTCTACTATATCAATGATCTTCTACTTTAAAGTTAATAGTGCAATTAACGAATTCATAATATATCTTCTATGCCCTTGAAAAATACTTGACAATTTAAAATGAATAAAAACCTCTTTAAATCAGTGATACTAATGGGAATTCCACTGTCCTCTTATCATACAAAGTTACCTGGTTTTTGTAAAGTGTTTCACTATTCTGGTAAGTAGCAAGAAAAAAAAATTCTCTTTCAAAAAAGATAATCTTCACTAACAGCTCTATAATGGGAAGAAAAAGAGGCATGGAGGTATTTTACCAGAAGAAGCATACTCCACAGTTCTTCTGTATGACATAATCTATTGCAGAGAAATAATTTGAGATGAGTTCATTCATTGAACACACTGAGTGTATTGCTTCTGTCTGAATCAGGTATGAATGTATAGACATTCAAACAAAGCATTTCATATAGGGGTATTAAGCCTGTGGAAACACTTGCCTAAGTATACTTGGCATTTAGAACACCCTCAAGACTTCATGGGTAATACCTAAGGTCCTCTCTCGAACTCATTTTGTTCACAATAACAAAAATGCATTTTAATAGCAAAGGCAGCCACATAAATTCTCTATTACTACACCACAAGTAACAAAAATAAATAAATAAAAATAGACCTGCGGTCCATGTCTTCATTTATGCTTTTAAACTATCTCTAATCACAGGGACTTGAACATGGTTTGACTTTCCACTTTTATTTAATTACAAATGTAGATGTATGTGGCGGGGTATGCTGAGGAGGGGAAAATAACAGATTTGAGGTCAATAAATTGTCCATTTGTTTTAAGTTGTCATCCATCTATTTGGTGGATGCTGTTGGTGCCATGCTAGATCTCCCTTACTAGCTAGAAGTCCCATCACCAAGATGCTGATAATTCACAGATGCACCTGTTTCTCTGCAGAATTGCCCCAGACCAAATGGGAAATGCCTCACCCAGGAGGCTTCTCTCCCACCCATTTTTGAGGGCAGCTGCCACCAACGTTTGGCTGATATGGGGGAACAGAAGGTCAACCCACTTGCCTCACGATGGAACCAACTCTGTGATACCATTCATGCTCTAGAATTTCACAGTGGAAGCAAACTGCAGGCTGTTTCCACTGAGCTCACCTCCATGCAGAACCATTTTCCCCTCCTCTTTCTTTCTTTCCTTACTATCCTTCTCCTGAGAGCATTGCCCAACAAATCACTTGTTCTTACAATTCCTATCTCAGCTTTGCTTCTATAGAACCTGACCTAAGATAGTATCTAAGCCATCTTACCCATAATTTTCAAAAAATAGTTTTAATCCTTTGGTAAATGGAGAAGTACTTCTAAGCTAATTGCTTTGATGATCTCTCAAATTGAATGGTGGTGCAAGATTTCAGCTGCACTCAAAGAGAAAGTGCAAATGGCAAACATTTACAAAAATGCTTTTCAAATAAAAGCACACATTAAGCAGTGTGCATTGCTATAAATAAATATAGCAGCAGGAGAATCTGTGGCACTGAGTGCATTTTTACGTATTGTGCGAATGTATTAATTACGTGCCATTATAGTGACAACATTAAAACCACTTAAACATATGAAATGATAATATAACATCAAAACTATTTCAAACCAAGTATGCCACAAAAGATCACATCCATTTTGCTCTTCTTATTGATTTTAGAAACCTCACATTTCAACAACTTTTTCCAATTACCACAATTATGCAAACTGTAAGTCATTTTTCTAGTATACATAGAATAAAAACAAAAACAAACTTTAAAATGATACATAAATACTCACAACATTATTATTTTAGAGTATTTATAGCAGTTTTTAGAGCCAAAGGCTTAAATTTGGAGGCAAATATTCATACTGGCAATAGTAATAGCACAGTCATACATCTCCATTAGGATGCTGTTTGTGAGGGAGAAAGCCCCCATCATTATATATTTACTGAGTCTTCTGGATAGTAAAAATCTAAGAGGAATATTCAAATATAATGGCCTCTTCAGAATAACAAAGTAGCTGTTTTCTATTTAGCCTCTAAAATAAAATCAAATTTAATAAATCTGAATTTCTAAATTCCAATCTGGACATTTTTCTTTCCTAATCAAATATCTTTTCAGGGGCGCCTGGGTGGCTCAGTGGGTTAAGCTGCTGCCTTCGGCTCAGGTCATGGTCTCAGAGTCCTGGGATCAAGCCCCGCATCGGGCTCTCTGCTCAGCGGGGAGCCTGCTTCCTCCTCTCTCTGCCTGCCTCTCTGCCTGCTTGTGATCTGTCAAATAAATAAATAAAATCTTAAAAAAAAAAACCACAAAAAACAAAAAACAAATATCTTTTCATTGTACAGAAAAACCTATGTAAAATAGCTAAGCTATATAAAATAACTAAGGTTAGCTTTTTTTTTTTTTAGTTTTATTTATTTATTTAACAGACAGAGAGAGAGCACAAGCAGGCAGAGTAGAGGCAGAGGGAGCAGGAGAAGCAGGCTCCCCACTGAGCAAAGAGCTTGACCCAGGGCTCCATCCCAGAATCCTGGGATCCTGACCTGAGCCAAAGGCAGTTGCTTAACCAACTGAGCCACCCCGGTGCCGCTAAGGTTAGATTTTACCTTCAAAGTTCCTGTTTAATTTAATTGCTTTGCTGGTGATTCCAATGACAGAAGTAGCTAAGTTATACAGCTATTAAAAGCTCTTCTAATCATTTACCTACTTTCTGAATTTGAAAAGTGACTCCATAATTTTAAAAAATTTAAAGAAGGCTTTAAAATTATCCTAAACTTTTGTAATTTTTAAATTATCTTTAGAGAAAAAAATCTGTGGCAGATCTGTGCAATTTCTATTCTTTTTGTCCATCCAAATTTTCTGATTTAAAATGTTTCATAGTTTTCATCTTTATAATAGCATACCAAGATTTTACAGTTTCTAGGCTTACTGGGCACTTCTAACACTTCAGGAAATTCCAGACTGCAGAAGTGTAAAATATCTACAGTTCAGTCTCCACCTACCATCCCCGCCCCATAATGAAGTCCCATGATATAATTTTATCATGATATCCCAGGATATGAGACAAAATGGGTAATTCAGAAAAGAATGACAGCTATAAGAATCTAACTACACCAAGGCTGACTGTCTCCCTAATTCTACCTGTTTGAATCATTCCAAAAATTCTAAACTGACTCACAATTAACTTAGCCACCAATTTTCTTCTTAGTCATGCTTAAGTCATTTCCTTAAGGTTTCGGCTCTATGACATCAACACACATTTGTGGTGGGGGGAGAAGCAGAGAGGCAACCAATGGTGGCAAACAAGGTGACAAGTACTTTAACAGCAGAGACAAGTTTATGAAATTAACCATTGTGTTCACAAATGGCCGAAAGTTGTTTTATAACTTTCTCAGAGTGAAGGGAGATTTCCAGCAAAATGGTAGTACCTCCTGAAGCTGCATGATACATCTAATAGCTAGCTCAAGATTGGCAACTGGCCACAGTGAATCTGGCCTGGAGAAAAAATCTTAACTCTTCTAGTGTAACAGTGGTAGGAGACATCTAGTGCTTCTCTCCACTAAGAAGCAGGATTGCAAGGAAACACTGGTGGATTAAGGTGAGTAAAAGATAGCTCTGATGTAATCAGCTTTTGGGGCTGTATGGGGTCTGACCCTCTAGGAGATATAACTTGACTCTACTTTTTAATGTTGTCTTTCCAAATCAGACCCAAACACTGAATCTAATTAGCCTGATTCCTGAAACTGTCACCCCACCCTACTACCACACCACCCCACTCCCATTATCCAAAAATAAATCTCTCTTTGGTTTCCAGCCAGGTTTACAGGGGGCTCCTGAGCCTTAGAGTTACTTCTGACCAACAGAATCTTCTCCTTGGATTTTGTTTGAGTAAGTATATTGTCTTTCCAGAGACCCATTCTTACTTAGCAGCTCTCACTTCCAGGGTCCTCAGGCTCTGCCCAGTCTGCCTACTTAGGTGGAAGCTGATGGCTAGAATAAGGTAGGCTCTCACAAGTATGGCCCTCACTTCTCAGCCTTTTGGCTAAGATCAGTTGTAGATGTATGGCCAAAATCCACTGAATTAA